CCTTCCTTCCTTCCTTCCTTCCCTCCTTCCTTCCTTCCTTCCTTCCTTCCTCCCTCCCTCCTTCCCTCCCTGCCTCCCTCTGTCCCTCCCTTTCACTTCGGGGCGAGAGCCCACGTTCTGATCTTCCTAAGAGCTCGCAGCCGCCGCCCCCCCGGGACGAGCCCGTCAGAGCTTTACGTCCGTTGTCTCTTTTTCGAGTTCCCGTTTCAGACGAACCGAACATCTAGGGAGGCGCCGAGCACCCCGGGCGAACCTCCGATCCCCCCGCGGGATCACCGCCCGTCCGGCCACTAAGACGCAGAGCCAAAGCCGCCCTGGCATGTGCCGTCCGCTCCCTCGTGCGCGTGGACTGTCTCGGGGACGAGAATGTGCCCGACTCCATGCCGTACCCCAGACGCGTGTAGGTTTCCTCCATCCTCCACGCACGGACGGACGGACGCTCAGAGCATCGTGGGGACGCGCCGGTAGCTTCAGGAAAGGAAGACAAATGCCGACGTCGCCCTTTGCAATTCAACGGTGCGGGAAGCTGTGGGGCGGGCGGCTCCCGCGTGAGAACGAGCTTCGTCCCCGCCCAGTGCGTTTCTGCCGCTGGACGGGGCCGCGGGGCGGAGCGGGGGCCACCGCCGTGCTCCCTGCCACGTCCTGGACCTTTGACCCCGCCGATCGGACCTGAGCCCTCGGATTCTACTGGCCGTCGATGTTCGTGGTGCATTGATCATTCTGTTTTCCCCAAAGGAGTTCCTAAGTCTCTCTCTCTCTTTCTGTCTCTCTCTCTAGTTTTTACAAATAAGTGAACTTCTCGGTCTCCAGGGAGGCAGAGAATCCACGTGTTTAGGAATAACCTAAACATGTCATGACTTGATCACGTCGACATCGGGTGAGCGGTGGGGGGCAGTGGCGTCTCGTTGGGCCCCGAGAATTCCTGCATCCTGGCGTAGCTCCTACCAGCACCGAACCGACATTGGCTGTTTTTCCAGCTTCCACATCTGGTCCCGTCCTCTCTGGGCATAGAAGTGCGTCTCGTTATCTTGATCTCGTGCTGCGGTGGAGCGTGCAGGGTGGTGATTTTGAGGCTGAGTTTCGTGTTTCGGGGTTAGGATGGGCGGCGAATGGGGGCGTAGGTGGAGAATTCTCAATGCTGTCCCTCCCTGCGGCTGCGGTCACCTCCACCTGCCAGCTTCATGGCCGTGACAGCAGTCACGTGACGGCCCTGCACCTCGCTGCAGGGTGTGTCTACAGGTCTCTCGGTTTAGATCCAGTGAAGCCTGTGAGCCCGGGGCTGAGTCTGCACAGAATCTCTCTGTGCCTTCAAGAATCAGTCCTCCGTGTGACCCGAAGGTTGGGCCGTGCTGGTCAGCGTCCCCGTGGCCTAGACGTGGCCCCAAACGCGTGTTGCACATACGCACAAATGTCCCCCACCCCCGGCTGAAGCCACAGTTGCTGTCCTTAATCAGATAGCCACACACAGTTCCTAGACCCTCCCCTGTCCCCCCCCCCGCCCCAAATAAAGCATGTGACTGGCTTTAATTATTCTGATATACGTGCCTGGCCTTTTAAGTCTTTAGGGCTGAAGCATGTGGCATGGGCGGCCACCCTCCTGGAGCCCGTCATTCCGTTTGGGGCACACGGTGTTGGGGACAGGTGCTGGCATCTGTAGTTTGCAGAAGTGTCCTCGTGCTTCCTCCTTCTGGAAAGTGTGGGCCTCGTCCGGGCCGTGGGAGCTGCGGCCAAACACGGTCCCCCCGGGCCGGAGTTGGGGGGTTTTGGAGAAGCCCCGTGGTGACCGGGCTGCCCCGTAAGCACGGCTCACGGAGCACACGGAGGGTTTCAGGCCGTGGCCGTTGCCCTTCAATGTGCTGAGCGTCGAGAACCCACTTCCTGCCCCGGCGGGAACACCGGTGACATCTGTGGTCGCCGCCGTGCGAGGCCTTCACGGGTCCCTCCAAACCGTCTCCTCTTGGGCTGCCTTTTTTTCCTGTTTTTTGAATGTTTGAAGCCAGGCGCCTTCACGGGGGTCTCCGTTCGCGGTGGCGGGAGGGGGTGCCGGGCGAGGAACATTCATCACACAGGGGGGACGTCGGGGCGCATGAGCTCCACACTGACCGGGGCGCTGTCCTCTGCTTGCTTTCAGCGGACCAGGGCGAGATGAACATGGAAAACCATCGCGGCACCAACGCGGAGCCACCCGGTGGGTGAGCAGGGGCGGCGACGGACGGCTGGCCTCGCGGTGCCCCCTGTCCGGCCTCCCCGTCCGCACCGGCCGCGCGCTGTCGAGGCCCCGGGGTCTTTTATCTCCCGTGGCTTTCGAGGGGGTTCGCGCAGGAGACGGTGTTTAAGCTTCCCAGGGCTCGAGGCCTCTCGTGAGACCTATGTAGGCCTAAGACTGTCTTGAAAATGCCGGTCACGGTCACTTTCCCAGTGCCCCGCTGATGCACAGCCCGGATGTCGGCAGCTGGCCGCCGTCCAGCAAAGATCCACGTGCGTCTTTAGGGACACAATGTTGTGTCACGTTTCGGGGTTACTTTGACAAAGCTCTCCTTCTCCCAGGCAAAGCCAGGGCAACAGGAAATTGTTTAAATCATGGAAACTATTCAGATCTCAAGAGAGGAATTTTACGATTAGGGCTGCTTTTGAAGATGGTGGGGAAAAAATTGTGTGCACGTATATGTGCGTGTGTCTTTCTTGTATTTATGTATATGTTAGGAGCTGCCCATTTCCCCCAAACAGGCGACATTTATTTGAGTGACACGCCTATGGAATGGAAAACATTTTAAAGGAAATATTAAAGTATTTAGAATTCTAAGAATGGCCACTTTTAGAAAGTTAGTGTTCACTGCTCTTTGAAACTGAAGAAAGATCTTTAAAATGACCTATCGTCTTTAACCGGCCAAAGTGCAAAACTGATCTCTAAAAAGTAAATGAACCGATCAGAAAATCTTAGCCCCGAACCATTCTAAATGCACGAAAACCGACGACCCTCACGAGACAATAATCTCTTCCGACGTGGGGTCTGTCACAGCGATTTTTTTTTTACTCTCAGAGAAGCCTCGAGTAGGAAACGCCCTCCTTCGCTTTCTTTCTGAGTTTCCGGAAGTGTTTATTTTTTAATCCCGACAACTGCATCGCACGGTCAGGTGGATTGATTTTTTTATTTGTTTTTCTAGCCGGTTAGGTTTTCCGGTCCCCGAGCCGTTTGGGGCCCATTTATTTATCTTACGTAGAAACAGAGTCCGCGCTTCTGGTACGCGGAAGGAGTGGGGGTTCGCGGGCGCGCCGGGGGACCCGGGGACGCCTCGTGCAATCTCGTCTCGTCTCTCTGTCCTTGGCAGTTCAACAGACTCTTCTGGAGAAATAGCAGGTGCGCAGGCGAAACAGCCGTGGACTCAGAGCAGGACGACAAGGCTGGCCGGCTGCGCCTCCGCCTCCGAAGAATGCCCGCGGGTGGGCAGAGCCCGCCACGCCCGGACCGGCTCCGCCTGGACCGGCTCCGCCTGCACCGGCCCCACCTGGAACAGCCCCGCCTGGAACAGCCCCGCCTCGCCCTGCCTTTGCTCAAGCTGGATTCTGCCCTTTAACCTTCAGATGTGGTTTGCTTGTCCCCGCGCTGGGAAGGTGGTAAGGACTCGATGGGTTCTGTAGCCATCCAGAGGGGAGTCGCAGTCACTCCCTCCGAGGCCCTTAGAGGTCCCCCCGTGATGCGAAAACCCAACCATCCCAAAGTCCCCGTCCTTCACATGTCACAAAGCCTGAGCCGTTTACCAGTGACAGGCCAACTGAACACGTCTGAAACCTGCCTCGCGTTGATACTTTTGCAAAGTGAGACGAGCCTTCCATGAGTCTCCTCCAAATTTCTTTTGGTTTGTTAGGATATTTTTACACCAGACGAAGAGTCATAATAAAAAAATAGAAACCATGTGCTTTTTACCGACCTGCTTTCAAAGAAGGCTCTGCCGCGGGAGCTTTGGATCCCAAGGCGCCTTTTCTGGGGCTGCACGACAGGTGATCACCCAAGTGCTCGCTCATCATCCCGGGGTTCACTTTCTTGGCCCTTTTGCTGTCACTTGTCACATTTGGGACAAGTACTGAGCATTCAGATACTCCCCTGTGTCAGATACTCCCCTGCACCAGATAATCCCCTACACCAGATACTTCCCTGCATCAGGTACTCCCCTGCATTCAGATACTCCCCGGTACCAGATACTCGTCTGCATCAGATACTCCCCTGCTCCAGATGCTCCCTGCATTCAGATACTCCGCTGCACTAGATAATCCCTGCATTTAGATATTTCCCTGCATTAAGATACTCCCTGCACTCAAATACTCCCCTGAATCAGATACTCCCCTGCTCCAGATGCTCCCTGCATCAGATACTCCTTGCATTCAGATACTCCCCTGTGCCAGACACTCCCCTTCGTTCTTCCGTGGGGGTGGATGTTACAAATTTGTCGAGCGTCTGCACCATCTCGACAAAACGTTTTCACTGCCTCGGTGTGAGGGTTCGCTGTCCCTGAGGGGTGAAATCCCCGAGCGGCAGAGAACCCCTGCATCTCACGGCTCACAGGACCGAAGGCAGACACCTCCTCCTGTAATCGGGCAGGACCGCCCCCCATCGGAGGCATTTTCCCATCTGGGCAGCGCACGTCCTGTGAGGCTGGCGTAGACACGCTCGGGGAGGGCTTTGCTGACAGTTTCGTGTCCATCCGAACACTGTCGGCGGTCGATGTTGTGGACGGGGTAGCCCTCACCCACACGCCTGTCTCCAGCAGCACGTGGCCGGTTTTCACGTCCCTCCTCCGGCCCAGGCGTGCTAACAACGCTCCTGGCACCACCGGGTGTTCTTTTGAGGGGGATACTTAATCTCACCGCCGATCGCGTCGGGAAGAGCCCCTGCTTCTCAGCAAAGCCAGAGGTCACGCGAGTCTCTCCCCGTTCGAAGGTGGGGCGTTATCACACCCGTGTGGCCAGCCGCCACGAGCCACCAGGTTGGAGGAAAGGGTCGGGTTGGAGGCGTCCATGGTCTCTGGGTCTTTCCCACCCTGGAGCTCGCCAACACCGCCGGGAGTTTGCAGGGCGGGCGTCGGAGGCGGCCCCCCTCCCGTAGACGACTCCACCCCCATCCTTCCACTGCGCTGGCTCCGTTTGTCTGCACGCGTCCAGAGCTTCACTCCCAAGGTAGCAACAGGGACCGACATGTGGCTCTCTCGGCATTTCGGTTACCCTTAGGGTAATGACTTCCGAGTCCGTGAAACAAGGTAAAAGAATCTTGGAGACGCCCTGGGTATGTGCCCTAGCTTCACGCAACAAACACCTACTGTGCGCCACTGTGCTCCGCGTGTGTATTGACATTCTGGGTTCTAGAGTATGTAACAGACATCGCGCACATCTCTGTCATCCATCAGGTGACACGGTCGACCAGTGCCCAAGGGCTGGGGTTAGCCCACAAACCTGAGTCCCATTGCTGACCAGTAGATGGCACCTGGGATGCAAAGGTAGCAGAGAACATGTACCTTCCCCGCAAATCGGTCATTGAGGGGGGCCGTCGGGGGTCAGCCTGTGCACGCCCACTTGCTTTGTAATAATAACTTTACAATGCGTAAAAATCTCTTGTTGCCCTCTCAATAATGTTGACACTTTTATAAGCATCGCAACTGTACTCTAACCATACTGGTCTCTTTTACGTAAACAAGAGAATAGTGAAAGAATGCGTATTTTTTGAAAGTGTATGGAATTATGACTCGTTCAAAAATAAATCCATACGTTTTAAGAAACACGTCATCCAGGCTTGTTTTTTATGGAGGGGGCGTGTTCATTTTTCTAGACTCATGTTAACTTCACGTCGCGTAAAAAGACGTAGGACTTTACCCCAAACGTGCCTTTTGGAAAGTCAAGTTTCATTGAGGTGGTTTGTCACATCATTAAATATCTTGGCGAAAATATTGCGTTGCTTCTTCATTGTGAAAATTTAATGTAGAGAAAACAGTCCCGTTGCGTTTCGAAATCTGGAAAAAAGGCGTTGATTGAAGGGCTCACGGGAGATGGTGACACAGTCGAGGATTTGTTGCAAATCAAGGTGACAAGGTCTGTGACCAACCAACTGTAGCTGTGGCCACGTTTTTGCCATGAAGATGCCGCTGCAGTGAACGTCTGTGGGAACAGATTACCATGGACGCATGCATGTGTGCGTGTCCCACAGGTGCCCGAGATGGTGTTCATTGGGCCAAAGGGTCTGTGCGTATTTGATTTTCACGGACACTGGGCCATTGTCCCAGGGCACAGGGCGTGTACTCTTCAATGGCGCCACCCACGGTGCCTCAAGTGTCCTTCCTCGCAGCCCTGCAGACATAGTGACCGTCACCAGGCTGCTCATTGAAATATGGTATATCTAGTCAACCCTCAAGAGTGAGTTTGAGACTCTGCGTGTGCAGCACAGATCTGCATTCTTCCAGTAGAGCCATGTGCATGTGCCTTGTGCTCACGGTTGTCTGTGTTACTCGTCCTTTTTCTTATTGATCTGTAGGAACTCTTTACATATTAAAGACCGTGCCATTGGACTGTGGAATACGTAGCAAACGTGCTTTGCCACGTTATCCTCAGCCTTCTGGCCGTGGAAGTGGTGTTTTTCCCCCCATTCCTACCTTCGTTATGTTCATGCAGGGAAGTGAGTGGCAGGGGTGCGCGCG